CCTGCCCTGACCATGCTTTGCAGACCAGGTATCAGTGGTCAGATGGACCCTTACCCCAACACTGTGTGCCAGACATGCCATTATTTCTTTTTGCACAATCGAGTACAGGTTGGGATTGCCTTTTGTGAAAAGAAATTTTGGCCGGGTACCTTCCACTGCGGTGTCCCAATAGCTTCTAAATTTTTGAGCGCCTCAGACTCCACCAGCTTGTATGGTAAAGCTGGCGGGCTAATAGTTCGGACAAGCCAGCAGTCAGACGCTGGGCAAGGGGGTGACTTTCTGACATTGTCTTCTTACGCTCAAACATGTCCTTGACAGACACATGACTGTGGGAAGATGAGCGTGAACTGCTCAAGGCGGGAGGCGGAGTGGCGGATGGTTGAGAGGGGACAAGGAGGACAGCAGTGGTTGACGTGGCTGAAGATGCTGGACCAGGGGGAGGCTGGCGGCTTAGAGTAGGCGAGCTGCTTGTACTCATGTGTTGATCCCATAGGCGTCTGTGATGTGAGATCATGTGCCTACGCAAAGCAGTTGTACCTAGGTGGTGTTGGACTTCCCACGACTCAGTTTCTTTTGGCACAGGTTGCAAATGGCATCGCTGTTGTCAGAGGCAGACACACAAAAAAAATTCCACACTGCTGAGCTCTGCAATGACGGCATTATGGTGGTGGACACAGACACAGCTGTCTGATCTGTGCCACTAGCTCCCTTGGGCGCACGCACCTCCCTCCAACTCGCCTCCCTCCCTCCTCCCTGTCTCCCCATCTGAACTTTCGCCTGCTCTTGCCGAGCGGCACCCACGCGACATCCATGGATCTATCGCCATCAATGTCCGCCACTTGTATCTGACAACTCAGCAAAGGAAGCAGCAGTGGGTACAACATCATCATCATCATCACAACGACGCCCCATGTGGTGTGGCTGCCTGCCTGGAGACATATCCCTGTTATCTACATCCTCTGGGTAATAATGAAAGCCGATCACTCATTTCTTCAAACGGATGTGTGAATAACTCCTCTGACATACCAACCGAAGCGGTTGTGGTGCTAGTTTTGGTGGTGGCGGCAGGCGGGTGAGTGGTATCTTGAGAGGTGCCTGAAGCTAAGCTGGAGGAGGATGGTGCGTCAAGGTTCTGAGCGGAGGCTGTGAAGATTGGGTGTCCTGTGTTAGCCAGTCAACTATGTCCTCAGAACTTTTCAAGTTCAGGGTACGTGGCCTCTGAAAACTGGGCATTATTCTAGGGCCAAAGGGAATCACAGCACCACGACCACGATGGCCCCTGCGGGGTGGCCTGCCTCTGCCTGTCATTTTTGTTGGGGATTAGTGGTACTATGCGTGCAAGCTACTGGGGGACCAGATATGAGTGGCAATGTGCACTGGCACAGTTGTGCAGAGCACAGGCTGTAGGCCTGACACCCGCTTGAAGATAACTAACTGCTATTCAATCTATAACAGTGAAAAAAGTTTTTTGTTTTTAAATCTAAGCTATTGTGACACCAGATGTAAGTGGTGGCACTGACTGGGGAAATGGGCACAGTATGCACTGTGAGCCTGACACAGAAGCTGGCAGCAGTGGCAGACAATTAAGTGCAATTACATTACATAGAAAAAAAAATCAAAAAAAGCATACCCTAACCCTAACCTAGCTATGCTTTTCCCTATCTAATGAACAGCAGCTACACTTTCCCTCCTCTTACTAAGCATGCATCTAAAATGGATGCCTTCCAGGAGGTGGGAGGGTCTGCTAGGGAGGGTGTGCTGTTAATTGGCTGGAATGTGTCTGCTGACTGTGAGGTACAGGGTCAAAGTTTACTCAATGATGACGAATAGGGGGCGGTTCGAACCGCGCATATGTTCGCCCGCCGTGGCGAACGCGAACATGCTATGTTCGCCGGGAACCGTTTGCTGGCGAACCGTTCGGTACATCACTATTTGTGACATGTATATTTTAGAAGTTTTAAATATTGTGTAAAAACTGTATTCCTCTGCCGGTGATAATGAGATTACCCATTGTGTTTAGTAATCATATCACCTGCAGAGGGGAGGATTTTGTGTGGGAGTGTCTGGGTGTATTGTACAGATTGATTGGTTGTTTTGTAACGCCCTGTGGGCTGTACTATGTTTGTGGATTGGGAATAAGAGAGACTGTATGTGACAGTACAGGAAGATTCTGCTTGACCCTCAAACCGATGTGTCGTCTCGTTTTTGGGGGGAATTGGATTGTATGCTGACTGCCAGGAGTGTAAGCGGATTGTATGCTTTTCCTGTTCGGCTGATTCCAGTGTTCGTGTGTTTCCAGTTCGGGAGTTGGTGAATTCATACAGTTTGCAGTTCGGGAGTTTGGTGCTTGCAGTAGCTGCTGGTCTATGGGAAAGGGGATTATCGCCTAAACGGTTTTTATCCTCTTGTGAGAGAAACGGTCCGTTACAGTGTGTTCAATAAAAACATGGCAACATTTCATTCTTTGTGTGTTATTAGTTTAAACAGACTGTGATTGTCTATTGTTGTGACTTAGATGATGATCAGATCACATTTTATGACCAATTTGCGGAATCCATATGATTCCAAAGGGTTCACACGCTTTTTCTTGCAACTGTGTATATATATATATAAATTTGAAAAAAAAATACCGGCACTCTAGGCTTTGTTCATCCGATTTATTTGTGGTCAATCCAGAGTTGCCAACGTTTCGGCTCCCGATCGGAGCTTTCATCAGGACACATAAAACAAAATACATTAAAATGGCAAACCTATATAGGACTTATCAACCAGTAAACACCAAGTCAGCTGTTTCCCATCATTCCTGATGCCCGGCGTGCACTCAGCCTATTTGCGCATGTCTGCACTCCCGGCTTGGAACAGCTGTAACCAATCACCTTACACGGCAACGTCACAGCTCCATGGCAACCATTGATACATTCATCATCTCGGCTGCCGCTGTGTGTACAGAAGCTGTGAGGAGAATTTCTCCTTTTTCAGTGACCAGCCCGTCCCGTCCATGACGTGGGTTTGTTTATGTCACTATGGCAACAGTTCCCCGCCATGCATTTAAATTTCCTGTAAAGTTCCAGAGAAACAGCTATTTATGCGTACAAGTCTGTATAAATAATAAATAATATCACGAACAAGAACATACATATATAAATACAATAAAAATGTGCTAAAAAGTTACGTATCTACTAAAGTTTGTTTTAGTGTGATCATCTAAATGAGATGATATATCAATTGCAATGTGTATTCATTCTTCTACTAAATAAGTGAAGTGTTACATATCTATAGGTCTCTGGTGTCTCCATTAAAAAATTATAAAAAATATGTGCATAGGAATATCTGAATATGGTATTATCTATATAAAGAATAGTCCAGAGTTGCAATTGTGGATATCATATATCTGTCTTATCTTTGTGCCTGGTGTTGATCCATGTATAAGAGTGCTTATTAATAAAGTGTATCAGTTTCAAATTGCACAAAAATTCTATTAAAAAAATAAAACCTATTATATAAATAAAAGTGAAGCTAAAGTTAAGATATGCAGGGTATCCTGACTATCAATTGTTATTAAAAGATGCTGGTAATATCTGTACATAAATTGTCAGGTACATTATATGAAAAAAAGTTACTATAATTTGTCGGGGAGTGGGTTATCTTAGAATAATGCATAATTATAAAAATGAAATAAATGAGCATTTTTCATTTAAGCCATTGGGAGATAACGTGTTTAGTTCCAGTGTCCAATATGTCTCTCTCTGTAGGAGTTCCCCCCTATTGCCACCTCTGGCTGCTATGGGGACATGGTTGATCGCCACACATTTCAGGGTAGAGAGTTGATGTTGTTTCTCTAAGAAATGTCTGGCCACAGGTTTGTCTGACTTGCCATCACGATAGGCAATGCGGATACTTGACCTACGGATCTGATTCTCTCGCAGAGAGCTGTCTCAGTCTTGCCTATATAACTTAGTCCACAAGGACATGCAAGTTTATATATGACAAACTCTGTGCGACAATAGATTCTGTGGGCAATTTTGTAGACCTTTCCCGTATGAGGGTGAGAGAAGGTCTTTGAGGGTATAATGAGACCGCAGGTCACACACCCTAAACACCTGATGTAACAGCACCCCGAGTAGGTGAAGGGGTTAACGCCGCCAAAGCTGTTCTTTTTCCCGAATGCAAAGTCAGCTATCGAACACTCCTAAGCGCCGAACAGGAATCATCCGAATTATCCCCCCAAGCACGAGACGAGGCTCTGTGTTGAGGGTCAAGCAGAATCTGTTTAATGTGGGCTACATGTCAGCCTTTTATGCAGGTCTTCCAGCAAGGGAGACTAGGGGCCTTGTGGAAGACTGAGACAGTTTTTACAGTAACCAATCATGTACAAGTACAGAATGCAAACACTCCCACACAAACAGTACAACTCCTCCTCTCTATCCTGGAAATAATTGGGTTAAGTGCTTGAAGTAACTCAATTACCTCCAGGGATAGAGAATATCCCCATATTATAATAGTAAAAACACATATTTCCTAATATACCAAACAGAACCCCCACATTCAACATATCCCCAGATAGAAATAAAAATTTTGGGGAAACAAAGTATAGCTTATAGCCAAAGATCAATATAGTGCAAAAAATAGAATTATGGTGAGAGCACTCAATACATGCAAATAAAATATTTTACCAGAACTTGCTTAGGTTGGATATCTAAAATAGCAAAACATAAAACACAGAAACATAGGGTGATACTGTTTAGAATATGTACAAATGTTTTTATGTGACTGGTTAAACTCACATGCTTCTGAGTCACTTAAAAAAGCTGACTCAGACTTAGAGCTTGTATGGAGATGAAAACTTTAAACTCTGGACGTCCTGTATAGATCTCGATGAATCCGCGCTGGAAGCACTCTTGAAAATAACTCCAGAAAGCAGGATCCAATACAATCTAGTTTTATTGCTTATAAAACTACATTAAAAATATAACTTTTATTCAAATACAAGTAAAATGTCCTTAAGATATATACCACGACGCGTTTCGGCACTCAAAGCCTTTCTCAAGTGGTCTAATTTCTTCATCTCCAGTATTCTTCTTTATATCCTCAATATTTGGCGCCCTTTTCCGGCGTCCTCTGTGTCTTCCGCTTTTGTCGTCATCGTCCGGCGGCTTCGTTGTGTCATGACATCTTCTGCTTACGTCATCATCCACTGCCGGGCGGCTTCCTGCGTCATGACGTCTTTCGGGCGCCGGAACTGGAAGTATTACCGGCGCCATCTTAGAAAGTCCTTTTTCATAAAAAAATGCCAGCCTTTTGCACTTTTATATTTCTAATACACATATATTCTGTGTTAGTGCCAAAAGTACTTTTAAACTATTTAAAAGAATATATATATATATATATATATACACACACAGACACACACAAACATTTGTGGTTGGTTAATATCGTATTGTGAAATACCTTGTGATTGGAAATAAGTCGGCGTGTGTGCCGGAACCGACGTAGGGGGTAGGCCTGTAAAATAGGGCCCCCCTAATGGATTGTATAAGAGGGAGAGATGGGTGGGGTGAACAGCGCGTACGGCAAGGTAGGAAGGGGGAGTAGCGTTTAAATAGGAACGCTAACTCCTCCCACAAATACAGGCCTTCAGCCTTAAACGTGTGGTCGGTTAATATCGTATTGTGAAATACCTTGTGATTGGAATTAAGTCGGCGTGTGTGCCGGAACCAACATAGGGGGTAGGCTTGCAAAAGAGGGCAAAATGAAATGCAAGAAAAACACACTTATTGCAATATAGTATAGAAGGTATGGGAAAAACAGTAATAAGTGGTGCTGCTATCACTTAAGTGTGTATCACTCAACCACACAAAATCAAGGTGCACAGTGTGCTCTCACTATTTTACTATTTTTTATACACTTATTGCAATATAATTATCCCATGAGATTCGTTTGCCTTACCTCTTATACGTTAGGAATGTTTCTGTATAAGGTTGCTGATTTCCAATGACTAATTATGTGTGCCGGCGTACTGCTATTGGATGCTGTACTTGTTGATAGGCTGTTCTAAATGGGAGCCAGAGGTCCCAACCTAATCTAATGCGAGGAGTATGAATGTAGAACCGCATTTAGAAATAGTTAGGGGATTATTTAGTAGATCAATTGTTTTGATTGTCTGGTTTGAATGTGGTCGTGACATGTCGTGATGTGACATGAGTGTCTGTGCCTGCTTAAATTTCCCTTGAGGAGACATGACTTGTCAGTCCGATTAGCTATTATCGTGAAGTTGTAGGGCTCCAGAACCCTTGGAAGGTTAAAGGCACAGAGGGTTAAGCCTGGGTAATGTGTGGTACGGATGCTGTTTAGGGAGTCTGATAGTGCCTGGAATTCCCATCTGTGGATGTATGTAATTGTAGAGTGATGAAGCAACTATTTATACCTTGATCTCTTATGCTAAGCATTTACGAAGACGGGGTATGGTTTGAAAGGCTTGTCAGAACGTGTTGTATGTCTGATTGGTATAGTGCGATAGCGTTGTATAGGGGGTTGAAAGAAAGGTGGCACAAAATGCAGAGAAGAATACAAGTTGATCGGTATGCCTGTGGATTTTGCCTCCGTTTTTTTTTGATTGGGTAACTAAAATAATAGATCAGGGTGGTGCAGTAGACATTGCTTACCTAGATTTCAGTAAGGCTTTTGACACTGTTGCACATAGAAGGCTTATCAATAAACTGCAATCTTTAAGTTTGGATTCCAATATTGTTGAATGGGTAAGGCAGTGGCTGAGTGACAGGCAACAGAGGGTTGTAGTCAATGGAGTATATTTGTAGCATGGGCTTGTCACCAGTGGGGTACCTCAGGGATCTGTACTTGGACCCATTCTCTTTAATGTTTTTATTAGTGATATTGCAGAAGGTCTTGATGGTAAGGTATGTCTTTTTGATGATGATACTAAGATATTTAATAGGGTTGATGTTCCAGGAGGGATAAGCCAAATGGCAAATGATTTAGTTAAACTAGAAAAATAGTCAGAGTTGTGGCAACTGACATTTAATGTGGATAAGTGCAAGCTAATGCATCTTGGACATAAAAACCATAAAAAAGGGCAGAGTACATAATATTTGATAGAGTCCTAACCTCAACATCTGAGGAGAGGGATTTAGGGGTGATTATTTCTGATGACTTAGAGGTAGGCAGAGAATGTAATAGAGCAGCAGGAAATGCTAGCAGAATATTTGGTTGTATAGGGAGAGGTATTAGCAGTAGAAAGAGCGAAGTGCTCATGCAATTGTACAGAACACTGGTGAGACCTCACTTGGAGTATAGTAAGCAGTACTGCAGACCGTATCTGATACTTTAGAGATAGTTAAGAGAAGGGCTACTAAACGGGTTCATGGATTGCAGGATAAAACTTACAAGGAAAGGTTAAAGGAACTTAACATGTATAGTTTGGAGGAAAGACGAGACGGGGGGATATTATTATTATTTTGTTATTTATATAGCACCATCAAATTCCGCAGCGCTTTACAATGGGTGGACGAACAGATATGTAGTTGTAACCAGACAAGTTGGACACACAGGACCAGAGGGGTTGAGGGCCCTGCTCAATGAGCGTACATGCTAGATGGAGTGGGGTAAAATTACACAAAAAGTTAAGGATAGTATTAGACTAGTGACAGTTGCAGAAGAGGAATCAGAGCTATTAACAGTTTAATTGATACGCTTTTATGAAGAAGTGGGTTTTTAACGATTTTTTTAAGGAATGGAGACTAGGTGAGCATCTAACGGAGGAGGGAAGAGGAGGGAAGAGAGTTCCACAGGAATGGTGCAGCCCTCGAGAAATCTTCAAAGCGAGCATCAGAGGTGGGAGTACGGACAGAAGATAGTCGTAAGTCTTCAGTAGATCGTAAGGGCCTAGACGGGACATACTTGTGTATAAGGGAGGATAGATAGGTGGGAGCAGCATTATGTAGCGATTTGAAAGCAAGAACCAGAATTTTAAATTGAGCTCTATATTTTAAAGGAAGCCAATGTAGGGACTGACAGAAGGGGGAGGCATGGGAGGTGCGGGCGGACAGGAAGATGAGCCTCGCTGCCGCATTCATTATGGACTGTAACGGCGCAAGATGGGAGCACGTAAGACCACTGAGAAGCGGATTACAGTAGTCAAGGCGAGAAAGGACAGTGGAATGGACCAACACCTTAGTCGCATCTGGCGTTAAGTAGGGCGGATGCACACAATGTTTTTGAGATGGAAATGACAGGATTTGGCGATAGACTGAACATGAGGCTTGAAAGAGAGGTCAGAGTCAAAGAGAACACCTAGACAGTGAGCCTGCATGATGGAGCTGATAGTAGCACCATTGACTTGGAGGGAGACAGACACAGGAGTAACAACATTTGAGGGAGGAAAGACCAGAATTTCAGTTTTAGTCAAGTTTAGTTTAAGGAAGTGGGCAGCCATCCAGTTAGAAATAGCAGAGAGGCAGTCAGAGACACTAGTCAAGAGGGACAGGGGGAGATCAGGAGAGGACAGGTAGATTTGTGTGTCATCCGCATAGAAATTATATTGGAAGCCAAAGGAGCTAATGAGTTTACCAAGGGAGGCAGTATAGATGGAGAACAGTAGGGGACCAAGGACTGAACCTTGGGGGACACCAACAGAAAGGAGTTGGGGAGAAGAAGCAGAGATAGAGAAAGAAACACTGAAAGAGTGCTGGGAGAGGTAGGAGGAGCACCAGGATAGAGCAATATCTTGTAGACCGATATTGCGGAGGATGAGAAGAAGCTGTTGATGATCAGTGTCAAAAGCTGCAGACAGGTCAAGGAGAATTAGGACAGAGTAGGTATGATAGAAACATTTAAATACATAAAGGGAATCAACACAGTAAAGGAGGAGACTATATTTAAAAGAAGAAAAACTACCACAACAAGAGGACATAGTCTTAAATTAGAGGGGCAAAGGTTTAAAAATAATATCGGGAAGTATTACTTTACTGAAAGGGTAGTGGATGCATGGAATAGGCTTCCAGCTGATGTGGTAGAGATTAAAACAGTAAAGGAGTTTAAGCATGCGTGGGATATGCATAAGGCTATCCTTACTATAAGATAAGGCCAGGGACTAATGAAAATATTTTTAAAAATTGGGCAGACTAGATCGGCTGAATAGTTCTTATCTGCCGTCACATTCTATGTTTCTTTGTTTCATCTGTAAATACTGAACAAAAATATTAATTGAGGCAATCAGCTAGACCTCTAATCTAACTAATCCTTGTTTTACTTTCCTTTTCTCATTTATGTATCTAAAAAATGTTTTATCCCCCTTTTTTTTTTTTTTTTTACTGACTGTGCTATTTTCTCTTGTGCGTGTGCTTTGGAGGCTCTTATAACTTGCTTAGCCTCTTTCTGCCTAATCTTATAGATTTGTCTGTCTTCCTTAATTTTTTAATTTTTTTAATAATTACTAATGCTAACTTTTTTTTTTTTTTTTACTAATTTGTACATCTGTGGAGTACCACAGTGGTTTCTTAAATTTTTTGCTTTTACTGACAAGTCTAATGCAATTTTCTGTTGCCGTCAGCAGTGCAACTTTTAAATTTCTCCTGGACTCTATTTAAACTGAAAAATTGTGACAAGGACTCCTTTACACAAACTGGGGGTTTTGGAAAAAAGAGTATAATTGTGGTGCTACTATCACCTAGTGTGAATCACTCCAACACACAAGATTAAATGTAGTGCAAATAAACAAATTGTGGTGAGAGCACTCAATGCATGCAATATTCAATGTTTTACCAGACCTTTTTCAGATGAAAAATTCTAAAAAACATAAAACATAAAAACATAGGGTAATATTGTTTTAAAATATATGTCAATGTTTACATGTGACTGGTTAAACTCACATATTACTGAGTCACTTTAAAGCTGACTCAGACTTCAGGCTTGTATGGAGATGAAATTTATTCAATTCTGGACGTCTTGTATCAATTTCAGCGAATCCGCATTGGAAGTACTCCTCTAGAATCACTCCAAACGGCAAGATCCAATCCAAACTGATTTTATTGTTAAAAAATAACTTAATATAATAGATACAAGTAAAATGTCCTGTACAAATTACCACAGTGGTAATTTGTACAGGACATTTTACTTGTATCTATTATATTAAGTTATTTTTTAACAATAAAATCAGTTTGGATTGGATCTTGCCGTTTGGAGTGATTCTAGAGGAGTACTTCCAATGCGGATTCGCTGAAATTGATACAAGACGTCCAGAATTGAA